CAGGATTCTACCAGAGGAAATGCATGAAGAAATACACCCGTCTGCCACCATTAGGATACTAGTAGACGCTAAGCTAATAGGTTAATGCCAGCAGTGTTTAATGAGATGGTACCGATCAATGCAGTCAGGACCGCGATTTACAGTACGTTCCCTCACACGCTACCCATTAATCCTACCACCCGTTAGCGTCTAATTAGAAGCGAGCCAATGACGGATGGGGAAGCAAGCGGGCAGGTCAGAGATGAAGCTGTCATGTTTTTTCAACACTCGAGAGTGTCTGAGAAATTATGAAACAATCGTGCAGAGTGCTTACGCTGCGATTCCACAGGTCACAATGACAAATGGGCCTTCATCCGCGAGCGGAGCGTGAGTGTGTCCTCCAGCAGCTACACATGCTCACACGCATCAGAGAGATGCAACTAGGGCTGGAACGGTTCTTGGTAAAAAATCGAACCGTACGGTTCTCCACACACGGTTCGGCACGCGCTAGGACCGCGGTTCAACTTAAATCTGACAACGCATCTGTTATATGGTTTGCTACAAATAACACGTAAAACAAACAGGGCTCGGCTAATGTATGTTTCTGTTAATGGATGCGCATTCTGGCTTCCCAGTACATTACCACAACAGCGATGAAATAAAAAAAGTGGACGAACCATTCACTGTTGTTCAATGCGAATGCCATATGCTGGAATATGAGCATTTATTCCGTCATCACCCGGGAGCTGATAGCGTTGATATCTGTGTTTAAGCTAAACTCATGTAAGTTTTGCCAATTTAAACATTTAAGAGCCAGAGGACGCGAGCTCGCGCGCGCAGTGAGAAGATTTGTGCGTGCGCTCATCCGAAGCATGCAAAACCTATATTAAATTAATGTATGGGCATAAAAAGTCATAAAAACACTCAAATATATTTATGCCTATATGTAAACTTTATGTATGTTAAAATGTCAATCAATTAGGTTTTCAATGAGCTGATAGCGTTGATATCTGTGTTTAAGCTAAACTCATGTAAGTTTTGCCAATTTAAACATTTAAGAGCCAGAGGATGCGAGCTCGCGCGCGCAGTGAGAAGATTTGTGCGTGCGCTCATCCGAAGCATGCAAAACCTATATTAAATTAATGTATGGGCATAAAAAGTCATAAAAACACTCAAATATATTTATGCCTATATGTAAACTTTATGTATGTTAAAATGTCAATCAATTAGGTTTTCAATACAAAATAAATGTTTGGGTTTTTTTGTAAATCATGACAGAAATATATTACTATTTACATGGAGGAACTTATAAGTTTCATTTTCAGGTCAAAAAAAAGGATGATTAAATCAGAGTTATTGGAATACTTGCTATATTGCAAGACACACACAAAAATTGCAACATGCATCAAATCCTAAACCAAATATTGTAATAAGATCACATTACAGCTAACTGGCGAATCCCACTCATGCACGCACAAATAAATCAGAGGAGGATGTAATGTACAATTCGATAAGCAATAAAGAAAATCCTTTCTTACTTTCAATACAGGATCACTAATGGAAGAGATTGTTGGAAGGCCTTGAACAAACACACCCTCCATTAGTCTATTGATGAGCTGTAATGATAATGGCTCATGTCTCTGCACACATCATGCAGTCTTTTACAGCCGATACGCTTCTGCTGATGCTCGTAATGGAGTTTATATCATGAGTCTACTACTATTCATAGGGGAAACACATTTGGGAAGTTTGCTAAGCCAAACTGGACAAACATATCAAATGCACAAGAATCAACTCACAACGCACAACTCTAACATAACATAAAGGAGCTTTCCACAGCGGTGCAAACCTGAAATGACAATAGCATGAAAAGTACCTAGTTTCTAATGCATCCAATGTCTGAAAAATTTAGATTTTGGCATGGTCAATCTCGGAGGTCTTGTATCCAATAGTTAAAACCATAATTTGTTGAGAGGATCTTCAGTGTAGTCCAGAAATCATGCTATTGTGTGTGTGTGTGTTCAGTGTGTAAATAATGGATGTGTGTGAAAGGTTAGCGCACTGCATCACTCCACAGTAAACAGGTCACGGCTCAACCTACACGTCACTCAGTCTGAAGGTTTCTCCTCAGCCGCCGATGATGAATTCTGGGTTCTGTGCCTGTCCTACATGCGACTCCAGACTGAGTTCGTCCAGCGCAGACTGAAGTGTGTGGAGCAGATGGTGTCAGTCTCTGTGAAGAGCTTTATTCCTGCGCTGTGATTGTCACGTAGCAGTTCAATCACGAAACACTGTGATTTATTCAATTGTGCTTCTCGTTAGAAGAGCCGTGAAAATGTAGAGCTGTACTGACAAACAGCTTGGTACAAGAAAAACAAACTCCAAACTGTTTTTTTAAACAATATGTTTCAAGATGAATTCTTAGAAGAATTACAAATGTCTGTTGTGTTCAAAGAAATTGAGTATATATAGGAAAACTAAAGCTGTTGATTAGTTGTGGCGTTAAACTCTGAATCATTGAAACGTTTTTAAAACGAATCCCAAGCCGTTTAATTTTGACGTCAACATGAAACATTAGCATATTGTCCACCCACTTGTTGGTCTTTTCGCTTGGTAAGAATGGAAATGCAAATTCGGTAACGCTGTACACAAAGCAGCACTGTGCTCACAAACACTGCTTTAGCAGGCATTAAAGGCGAGATCCAATCAGATCAATCACTGCAGATTAGCATCACGCAAAGGAGGGGTTTGGAAAAAATGAATCGTTGAGCTAATTGTTTGGGAGTCATTGAGGAAATGAGGTAAAAATAAATGCATATTATAAGACAATGAAAGTGTTTTTGAGCTTGCATGCATGTCAACTTGTTGTTGTGGACTCCCAAAACCAAAATATGAACCTTTCCTAACCTATAATAGGGGCACTTTAAATATAAACCTTGGTTAAACGATTTATGTGTCAGTACTTTTTGAACGTTCCCAGCACATTTTAAGAATACCGAGACAATACTGATAACCATGATAATTCTGGTCTAATCATGATAAGAAATCTTCAGACCGTGGCATGATGTATATATATATATATATACTGTATATATAGCCTATACTAATATGTATGTTTACATATGTGTAATACATTTTTGTCCATATATGTCATGTAGATGTATGTCCATCCTAAAACCGTGTTGATATTATATAAAATATAGTAATTATAAAAGATAGACATGTATTAAAAAAATTATTACAAAAACATGATATATACATAAGTGAAATATATGGGAATATCACTCTTGATATAGGGCAATATATGTCATATATTACATTTCCATATGGGAGTTAATCTGATTTTATGTTTTTATGAGTCTTTTCATTTGTCCGCATTCATAGGTAGAGACTCCAAACCTGAAATGAAAGGCGTATCTGCTGTTGTTACTGCCACACATCTGCTCTCAAACGTGAGTTATCTATATTTAAAAACACTGCACTGCAAAAACATGCCAACACTTTCATAGGCAAAATAAAATAAATAAAAATCAATACATATCAGCTCTTTTTGCAGCAATATCCTGCATAATTCCCCTGAAATGAGTAAGGTGACTCAAGACAACCTGCTGAATTATTGAAAATTAATGTGTGGCAGGGCAGAGGTGGTGATGTGGCCCGTTGAAAGAGGACGAAAATTAGAAAGAGGGAAAGAAGCAAGGTTTTGTTTTAAGATCTGGTGTCACAGCATGTTTAAGGCAGTTAGGGAAGAAGACAGTAGACAACAATTTGTTGATGGCCAATAACAGACCAAAACTGACTGTTTCAATAATTTGTTGTGCTAAAATATTGCTATAATACCAAACAGGTAAGGGGGAAAAAAGGTGAGAACATTGCGCAGATCGGGGGCATGCTCCACATAGAATTTATTTTAAAGATATTTGCTTTACATGCTAATTTGTAGTTACTTTAAGGTGTTTTTTTATATTTTGTATTACCTTATATGTCCAAAACTGTAATTTTTCTCACAAAAAAACAACAACATTTTTTAACACCTTGTTGCAACATTTTACAAAAATCAAGAGAAATTTGGTCAAAATCTCATGTTATAAAAGATGAAGTGCTATTTAAGACAATATTGGCTGATTAGATGGCAATGCTGACCTAAAATGCTAAATGTGTGCCCTCTCTCTCTTCACCGTTCCCACATCTCAGACCTGAAATACATCAAATATTACCCTTTTTAGACATAGTTTCTGAAGTAAAGAGTAAAGGAAATACTATATAAACATAATAGTAGCATAAACTTAGCCAGTAGTTTGACCAACTAGCAGCTGCCAAGGAGTAACCACTCTTACTCTTCCAATACAAACAAGACCAATCTACCTTTTCATAACTGAATTAAAAAAGTTATGACTTGAAGTGTTACACTTTCTCATTGGATCTAAGCAAATCTCACAGGTGACCTATTTTGATCTAAAAAAAAGTGAGTTGTCACTGAAAGGTGAGGAGTTAGCATCTATACACTCTTAAAAATAAAGGTGCTTCATGATGCCATAGAAGAACCTTTTTGTCTAAATGGTTCCATAAAGAACCTTTAACATCTGAAGAACCTTTCTGTTTCACAAAAGGTTCTTTGTGGCTAAAGAAGGTTCTTCAGATTACAAAAAGGTAAGAAAGAGATGGTTCTTTAAAGAACCTTTGACTGAATGCTTCTTTGTGGAACCAAAAATGGTTCTTCTATGGCATCGCTTGAAGAGTGTTCTTATTTTTAAGAGTGTAGAAAGAGCAGAACTCGACTCTCAAGGGCTCGTGAGCCAATGAAATTCATCTTGTAAACCTTGAAAAGCAGCATTTGCTCAGAGATTTGCGGTAGGCCGTTGTCGTCTGTGAACACTTCACTGCACACTCAAGATCCAGACACAACAAGACAATCACCTCTTCATTAATCAATCAGCAAACGTCACCTAATTAAGCAGTAATCAGGCAGCAGTGCATGAGGCCAGCTCAGATGTAAGAGTGATCCACAGAGACGCTCTTACCTCAACGGCGCGGCGCTCGAGCTGATCCATCTCGTCCTGATGTCTGAACGCAGAATCCAGGCCAGGCTCTGTGGATTCTGCGACACGAGGGACACAAGGCCATGTTTTTAAAGGTGTAGATATACTCATATAACATGTAAGGTGCATATGAAAGACGTTTCAAACCTGATCGACCTGAAATGTTAACAAATGAAGCTTCTTCAAACTGTTGTATGTGTTAAAACATGTATCATGTGTCGTGGAATAAAGATAATGGCTTCAAGTAGATGTTTGCTATAGTGTGAGATGACAATGACACTTTGACTTACACTACACTGTAAAAAAAAACTATGTAAAAGTTGTTTTGTTTACCTTACTTAGATACTCAAGTATTTGTTCACAACATATCCAAATGTTCTCCCAACTTTTCAAATTGAGTCATCTGAACTAACAGTTTTACATTGAACAATATTGCACAAGTTCACAGCATGCACAAAATGCGATAGGTTGCCTTGTTTTTTTGTTTTGTTTTTTTACAGTGTAATACAACAATTTAAGTAGCTGTCAACTTTTTTGTATTTGTGCTGACACTTTGACTTACACTACACTGTAAAAAAAAAACTATGTAAAAGTTGTTTTGTTTACCTTCCTTAGATACTCAAGTATTTGTTCACAACATATCCAAATGTTCTCCCAACTTTTCAAATTGAGTCATCTGAACTAACAGTTTTACATTGAACAATATTGCACAAGTTCACAGCATGCACAAAATGCGATAGGTTGCCTTGTTTTTTTGTTTTGTTTTTTTACAGTGTAATACAACAATTTAAGTAGCTGTCAACTTTTTTGTATTTGTGAATATAATCTACTTAATGTCATAATCAAATAGAAACATGTCTGGAAAACTAATTTGTTCTTTAAAATCCTTGGCTTGATGGTAATGACGGCACTAATGGTGACAACTATGTTCTAAACAAATTGCAAATTGTACGCCTAAAAACAAGATTGAGTTGTAATGTGTAAAGGCCTAAGCAGAATTTACCTAATTTAAAAACGTTTTGTACATTTATTATGGAGAAGCTCAAAGGTTTGGATGGATGACAAGCCACAAAACTGAGAAACAGTTGCATTTACAAGATGAAAGGAAAATAAAGAAACAAATGTTTAAAGCTGCTACAATTTATATTTGAGAAAAATAGTTAAAAACTAAACATTTTTAAATGTCCTGACATAGCTGAAGAGTAATTTAGAAGCTACACTAAGCCTGTAATTTAGAGTTATTTTCAGATAGTTTAACACAGCTTTGAGACCAGTGTGTTTCTGTTGCATTCACATTCACACGTGTCCGTAAACTCTTACTCACATTAATAGCACATGGTGCATCCACTCAAATATTCTGTACATAGTAATAGTGACACTTGCCTTTGCAAACATCACCCACTGACAACATGCAGCATCTCTCAATATTAATAAGAGGACTCAAGCATGTTTAAAGTTTTCTCACTCACAGTCTTGTTCTCCAGCGGCGGTTCCTGCTCGCGATGCCGTGGACCTCCGTCTCTCTGCTGGTGACCGTTTCTATGACAACAGGTGCGGCTGATCATTTAGGAACAGTCTCAGATCTGGAGGGAAAACCACAGTGTGCTGACTACCAAATAAGTTCAGGAACACGATGTGAAATGACTTCAGTTTGATTAAATAATGTTTGCGAATGCAGGGAATAAAACATCTTCTCGGTTGATCTTTCCCTTTACATTTTGCAGTTACATGCTGGGATTTTGTAATATGTGTCCCTGCAGCACAAAAGCAGTGTTGAGTCGCTGGGGGATATTTTCAGATTATGCATAAATCTACATTTCGAAAAATTGACCCGCATGACTGCTTTTGTGCTCCAGGGTCACATATAATATCTAGTGCTGTCAAACAATTAATCGAGATTAATCACATCCAAAATAAAAGTTTTTGCTTACATAATATACACTCTTAAAAATAAAGGCGCTTTAAAGGTTCTTCACAGCAATGCCATAGAAGAACCATTTTTGGTCCTGAAAATAAAGTGTTACATTTCTTTTTATCCTCTAATTTCATTCCTCCCATGAGGTTGAGCTCATATAGTTTCAGAGGGTTTGTGGAGTAATGCAGTGCTGAACTAGCGGTCAGGTAATAACCTGGAGCACACTGAGGTGATATGTTCATCTGTCTGTCTCTGAGGAGCTTTCAGACTGAACATCAACCTCAAGATATTGACTGCACAACAAACAGTCCTTTAGAAGACGATAACACAAACCTGCACTGCGAGAAGACCACTGCACAACACGCACAGAAACCAACTATTAAAGGAACAGTTCACCCAAAAATTAACGTTTGAGTTTGTTTCTTCATCAGGTTTGCATCAGTGTCTCAGCCATGGATGCTCTGCAGTGAATGGGTGCCGTCAGAATGAGAGTCCAAACAGCTGATAAAAACATCACAATAATCCACAAATAATCCACAGCACTCCAGTCCATCTGTTAACATCTGGAGTAAAGTGATGCTTGATTTAGTAAACTCCACTATCATGCACACATCATTTCTGTGATGCAGACAGAAAAGCATCTGTGTGATGTGTGACTGTAAGCGCAGATACACCAGACAGCGATGAAGGGCAGAAAACAGCTCTGTTCACCTTAGAGATGCGCATTATGCATGCAGATTGCAAGTTCATTTAACATCTATAATTAAGCAGCTCATGAAGGGCAGAGGCTCGAGAGAGAAACTCTCTGATGATATAAGATGTAAGATACATAATCATGCACTCCGAGCAATGGAGAAAAACAAAGATGATGCAGTCATATTAAATCATGCATTTGAATTTAAGCTGATCTCGATCTTACCACATGAAGCGTATTTTGGATATTTTTTCTTCTGTATTTCTGCCTGGTACGATGCATGAAATTAACAATATTTAAACTCTTAAAACAATCATAACTGACAAACGACAGTGACTGGTTGCATTAATGAAGGAATAGATGGACTGAATTTGTTCACATTATTAACGCAGCACAGAACTAATATAACTAATATAAGGTACAGAGACTAAATATCAAACTATAGAGTTTCTACAGTAATGAAAGACAAAGAGCTTGATAACGCTGGTCAGAAGAAAGGAAGACACTGTGTTAGACACATTTAAACAACAGCGTTCACTAAGTGTCTGTCATTTAATGCATGGTAATAAAACACAGAGTGAGCAATAAATGTACATCACTCACTTTGTGTTTGTTTGATTAACTATATATAAATATAAACTTTCCTACAGCTATAATGTTAATAAATGCGGAAATGCATCAGCACACTCAGTAAAAAAGACTTCATAAACACAGTATTTAGCTGTGTCAGACAGTAGGCTGTTTTCTACTTTTCCACAAAAATATAAATAATAAAAAGAACATCAAAAAGATTGACACAGCCAGGAAGTGACATCATCTGGACTCTTTCCAGCAAGGCGGGCAGACGGGTAAATAATCCCACTCATTTTTCACTATCTATCAATTTTACATTTTTATTTTAAATACAATTTAAAAATATTATTATTATATTATTACAAATTTAAATTTTAAGTGTCTTAATATACAAGTGTATTATAAGTTTTACCTTTATTGTAAAGCTATGTATACTGTGTGTGTGTGTGTGTGTGTGTGTGTGTGTGTGTGTGTGTGTGTGTATGTGTGTGTGTGTGTGTGTGTGTATGTGTGTGTGTGTGTGTGTATAGACTATATAATTTAGACTAAATATGAAATCCTGTTATCTATTTTAAAATTTTATGGAATTATAATGGTGTACACTACCAGTCAAAACTTTTTGAACAGTAAGACTTTTTTTTTTTTAAGAAGTCTCTTTTGCTCACCAAGCCTGCATTTATTTGATACAAAACACAGCAAAAGCAGTAACATTCTGATATGATTAGAATGTATAACAGCTGTTTTCTATGTGAACATCTGTTAAAGTGTAATGTATTTCTGTGATGAGCAGCTGTATTTTCAGCATCATTACTCCAGTCTTCAGTGTCACATGATCTTCAGAAATCAGTATAATATGCTGCTCTGCTGCTCAACAAACATTTCTGATTACTACAATTATTATTATCAATATTTAAAACAGTTTTTTCAGGATTCTTTGATACATAGAAAGATCCAAAGATCAGCAAGTAAGAAAATTAAAATCTCAAACTCACATAAACTATATAAAACTATTCCGATTGACTTGCTAAGCCTGATAATCAGCATATGTTCTGATGATATGCAGCTCGTTGAAATAATAATGATAATAATAGAAATGCTTGATGATTGAAGAGTTGGCGCGCGTGTGGAGCGGCTCGGTGCTCCTGCTTCGACATCAACACATTCACACACAGAAGAAAGAGTGCAAATCACGCTCGACACGCGACGCGACGCGACGCGATCAGCGCATCAGGACACTGAGCTGAGGATGAGGATGGAGATGATGAAGCGCGGGTTTACCTGAGAGAAGCCGAGAGCGTCTTCAGCATCACCTCCGCGAGCGAGCGAGCGAGCGTCTGCCTCGCGCCGCTGCTGCAGGACAGCGCGTCCCGAGCGGCGCGTCAAGAGCGTCCAGCCAATCAGATCGTCGCGTCCGCGCAGCATCACACTCCATCAGCATCAGCATCAATCACCAACAGACGCTGCGGCGGGGCTAGTTGTCACAGGGTTTCTATCTCATTCTCAGCTGCAGCAAGACACTAGCAATCAAAGGCTGCTTTTCTTCAATTAATCACACTGGATAATTAACCCTTGGGTGAACACCACATTAATGAACTATGGTATGGATGTCAGGTTTTGTATTCTTATTTTCATTCATTTCAGTTTTCATCGACCAAGACCATTGTTTGTCTGTCCTGTTTTACAGATTACATTTAGTGTCTGAAAAGCCATAGTCAGTATGCTTTAATGTTGAAAACATATTTAACATGGACACACTTTTCAGTTTACACAAGATGCCATTGAGCACTTATGTCAAAGATTCCTTCTCTGATTTCCTTTCTCAAATAAATCTGTTAATACTTTACTATTAATGAACACAGAAACAAATGACATATTAACATTCTAGTAACTACTATTAACAAGAAGCTGATTAATGAATTAGCACTCATGCTGAATGTGGTTTATTTTAGCTAACCACTAATCTACTAATTAAAATGAATTTCTTCTGGAGTAATTAATTACTATAGTGCTGGGTTACCACGATTTTCACATTAGAATTAATTAATGCGTTAAGAATTCTTCTCATTAATTGTGAAACCATATGTAGTTTGGTAATAGTTTTCTGGAATGTATAAAAATAGTAGTTAGTTACTAATTAGCTGATGCATTGAAAGCTATTACTTTATAATTCGTTGATTGGAGTTGTTAGTTAATAGTAGCTACTGTTACTGGAAGTTTAAGTGTCGTCTAGTTGTGATTTCAGCATTCCTTGACCACAGTAACAGGGTTGAGAGTTTACACATCTCGGTCACACTATGACTTTCGCCTCAAACTCCTAGTTTGCTGGTTATCACTAGTAAGGTTGGTAGTTGTTAAGTTTAGGTATTGGGTGGATTAAGGGATCTAAGGCATTAATATGTGCTTTATAAGTACTAATAAACAGCCAATATACTAGTAATATGCATGCTAATAAGCAACTAGTGTTAACAACATCTCTGAAATTCACCAGATATTTAAGTCTAAAAAAACCACCAACAACAGCAAACACAGGGTTTTAACAGGGTTGCTGCTGTTTTACGCTATAGTACATTGTCTTAAAATGTGCACATTTACTAAAACAAGGAGTCTGTTGAAAAACAAGATATTAAAAATATATAAATGAAAACCTATTTTCTTTTTAGAAAATGAAGTATGAAGGTCCACTGCTAATTTAACTGTCACTGGAGTGTGAGCAGATCACATAAAAACACGAGATGTGCAAATTCATACGAGTTAGCCACCAATTGAGCAAAATGTAAAAGAGCCAAGTGAATTGCCATGAGACTGCATTGGAAATACATGAAGTGTGTGCATCTGTATCAGGATGCTCTCAGATAAGACCGTGCACAGCTCTACTGAATGCATCTACAGGCTCATGCACTTTAGCTGCATTGCAATCGAACAAAAACATCCAAATGCATGCATGCATGCAAAAAAAAAAAGTTTATTAACCCAAATGCATTTCTCTCTGGCAGCATGCCTGAGGCACAGCTCATCTGAGGACACTCTTGCAGGCCAGTGAAGACAGATGTGGGCAGCAGTGATCCGCCATCTGCCAACACAACAACAAACCTGTGTGAGAGTCCACAGCCACCTCCATCAGACACACCCAGTCTGGACAGATAGCGGCTCCGCAGACCAAACGGAGACAGAGGCTTCAGACGATCCTCCACAGACGGCTGAGGGACACGCAGACGCTGAGCATCCCTGAGACACAACACTAGTGCAGCTCACACACTGACACACACACACACCGTGCATCTGATGTTTTATTATCACATAGAGCTCCCAAACGCCACAGTCTAAACATCCAAGCAGAGTGAAGTCAGATAAACACAGAGTCAGAGCGGAGAGCGATGGACAGAGAGTGGAGATGGACAGTGTGTTGGTTTGGCCTCGTGTCAGAATCAAACACCTGCTGGAGCTTCATCAGTTCAGACGCTCACAAACAGGAAAACTGAACATCTTTGTACATGTGTATCAAAATATAGTCGCATTTCAAATACAGCATCACAAACTGAACAAAGAAAGAGTATATAGAGACTGTACAGTACAGAATATACAGGCAGATACAAATATGAATGTCACGAAATCTGTCAAAAGCATGTTTCACCCAAAATCTGATTCAAAACTAAAATATTAGCCGATTTGCTACCGTTCATATTCCACTATATTTTAATGTAACATCTTCTAAATATAACTGTGCAAAAAATCATAAAAGTCACACCTTGGAAACAAAGACAGGTAAAAAAACAAACATATAAAGGCTCCTGATGATACATATGTGCACAAAAAAAATCAATCTTGATCGTACAGCCTCGTTCTAATGTAAGCGCGCACAAGCATGTATTAAAAAGCTGAGGAAAAAAACCCAATAAAGTCAACAAATAATGCCATTCGCAATATTTATTGTCTTTTGAGAAGTGCACTGTAAAAAATTTTTATTTACACTGAAAATCCAGTATAATTACAAGAAAATACTATTCCAGTCTCTCTACTTCAAAAATTCATGTTTGATTCAATGACTTAATAATTGTTTTGTCAAATTTACGAGCAATTTCTGAGTGAAAATTGTTGAAACACTAATTTCTTTCCGTCGTGGAAAATAGGTTGTAAATAGAGTCAACTGCAAGTTTTTGGGAATAAAATCATCAAAGTAAAACCCGTGTTACATGTGCAAAACAAAGCAGACTTATTAATACAACTGACTAAAAACAGGTAAAATAATCAAAGTTAAGGCACGAGGCACTACTGAGTCAAATGTCTTGTCACATGTAGAGGCGTTCTGTTATGTACTAACGGGGATTTGACTCGGTTTGAGAGAACTGCTCAATGGTTGGACCCTAAATATATTTCTGCTCATCTCAAATACTGGAAGGGGCTTCTAGGCTCAATGAGCTCACTGATTTGTATGATGTTCCCCTGAGACAACAGAAAAAACACATTCAAGGTATAGTACACTCAAAAAAAGAAATGTTGTTCCAAACCTGTGTTTTCTTTGGTTTTTTGTCAGTCATTGTTTTATGTAATGCGCTCTTTGTGTTCTTGTTTGCTGTTTTGTCCCATTTATTAAATAACCCTGCAACTAGATCCACACCTCTGCCTGCGCATTACACATGGTAACCAAATAGTTGACTGTAGCCATTGACTTTCATAGTGTATATATACTGTGTGTGTGTGTGTGTGTGTGTGTGCGCGTGTGTGAGTGAGTGTGTGTGTCTGTGTGAGTCAGTGTATGTGTGTGTCTGCGTGCGCATGTGTGTGTGTGTGTGTCTGTGTGCGTGTGAGTCAGTGTGTGTGTGTCTGTGTGAGTGAGTGTGTGTGTCTGCGTGTGCATGTGTGTGTGTGTGTGTGAGTGAGTGTGTGTGTGTGTGTATGTGTGTGTGCGTGTGTGTGTGTGTGTGTGTGTGTGTGTGAGTGTGTGTGTGTGTGTGAGTGAGTGAGTGTGTGTGTGTGTGCGTGTCTGCGTGCGTCTGTGTGAGTGTCTGTGTGCCTGTGTGTGTGAGTGAGTGAGAATATATATATATATATATATATATATACAGTATATATGAAGAGTTCATTTGCAAAAACATAACTCTGTTTTGAACAATTTAAGTTTTTTCATTGTGCATTCCAATTAATCTCAATCAAACTGCAGTTGGGTTATTTTAATTAGGTTAAAAAATAACAAAAAAACACAGCTAACCAACACAATAAAAACATGATAACATAATAAAAAACATGATTTTTCTAAATTAAAAGCTATCGGTTTTTGCAGATAAACTCTTCATATATATATATATATATATATATATATATATATATATATATATATATATATAATGCATATAATGTAAAGTTGGTTACCAACATTCTTCAAAATATCTTTTTTGTTCATCAGAAGAAAGGAACTCATACAGGTTTGGGACAGGATAGTTTGGGTGAACTATCGCTTTAAGAAAACAAAACCTATTTTAGGACATTATTTTCAAGATGATTAAACACATTTAACACATGCACTACTACGATAATACACTGATTAAAATCATCTCATCTAGGCACACTTTCATTATTAAAGTCGTAATAAATTACACTGCAGGTATTAAATGGCAATTAAATATTAGTAAAACAAATACTACAATGAGATACTTAAAATAGTAAATTATAAAATACAATTTGTAATTTGCTTTTTTGTATAACAGTAACAAGAATGCGGGGTTTAAATGTGTTTAACTGTAGTGGAAATAATGTCGAGCTTGTGTAATGTGCTGATGCTGTCTGTGCATGGGTTCAGTGGTGCTCAGTGAAGGATTGTGGGTAGTCTGAAGCGCTCCGAGAAAGTGGTCAGTGCAGAAAGGCCCGAGGTGAAGGAGATCAGACGTGCTTCACCTGAAACACAGCACATGAGACGCGTGAACACCGCTCACAACAGCCCAGAGACAGACACACCTGTGTCTGAAGAGAAACACTGGGAAGTAAATCTGTGAAGTAAAACAGACCTTCCCCAAAACTCTCCTCCGGATTCACAAACGCTTCATAAACTTCTGATTTGATAGTTAAACATGCGTATGTTAATGCATTCCAATCATTGGTAAATATGCACACTCATTCACAATTAGCATAATCCCGCCTATAATTACAGCTACGCAAACTGCCTGTCCAGGAACGCAGTGGAATATTCTGGTCTGCTTTCTCAGGTTCGGCTTCAGTATATGGCATAAATGCAAAAAAGACTAATAGACCATATGCCTAACAATAAATATTCAATAACGTGTGTCCACCAAAGAGTTTTTAGCCAGCTGAAATAATGTCAGGCG